TGCAGCTCTCGTATAAGCAGGCCTGAAAAGGGCCTTGGGATTGGCCTGTGTTTTATTTTCTACTGTATTTATCATATATTAGATTAGTTAAGATAATGGTAGCTGCCATAACAAATAGACCCAAGTATCTCTCACATCATTGCACCTTTTCCTCTATATCTTTTTTTTTCTTTTTTCAACTTTTAAGTTCAAGGGTACATGTGCAGGATGTGCAGGTTTGTTAATAGATAAACATGTGCCATGGTGGTTTGCTGCATGGATCATCCCATCACCTGTCATAAATCTTTATTAAGTATTTTCATGGAAGAATGAAACCTGTGTTCCAGATCTGAAGGCGATAGGACCAGGGAAAATGAGAAGTGAGCATGCAAGGATGAGGCTTCTTCTGTTCTCCCTAGCCGAGAGAGATGGCATGGTCAATGTCAGAGTTCAAGTGTAATGGAAAAGGTGCATCATGGTAGAGGCTGACCAGATGTGAGGAAAGACGGTTTTAAAAGACAGAAACAAGATGTAGCCTAGGCTAGGAAAAGAGCAGGAATGAAGGTTAACGTAGCAATAAAGTTCAAACTTCTCTGTACATGGCATGTTCCTACTTACAAAACGCATTCATATATATTATCTTGTTTTAGACTCACAACCAGGTGAGGTGGCTCAGGGTGTATTAGTACCCTAATTTCAAACATTCAGGAAATCTCAGGAAAGTCTGAGAGGCCGAGTGATTTACCTTGGTGAGTGGAGAGACAGGGTGTAGGCTTTGGTGTTATGCCTCCAAGAACAGAGCTCTTTCTCTAACTTGTGATTTTCCTGGAGGTTTGGGGGCTGCTGAGGCAGAGGGGCTGCCGACGTGGGCAGAGCCTACTTCCCTTCCCTTCCCCGACGACCTGTGGCCGCATCCTCGTGATGCCAGCCATGTTCCCATGGAAATCACTTACCAATGGCAACCTATTCAGAAATGCAGCAATGAATCACTGCCGCCTGGTTAGGTCTCCTGCTTTTGTGAGACCTGTACTCTGTCCTTTTCAGGGGTCACAGTTTAACAGATAAGCCTTTTTATTTTAACAATTCTCTAATCAGGCTTTCATTTATTTGGCCACCCCCTCCGTTTTCTCTGTCTCCCTCTCATCCACCTACTCCTGCTCCTCCCACTGTGTGCAGCTGAGTTTGGCCAATGCCAAATCATGTTTTATTCTCAGCCTGAGAAAGAAATTATACAAGGTGTCAAAACTGGCCAGCAAAGGACCCTTCCCACCAGTGCTGATTGATGTTTCAAGGTTACACATACACTGCTTCCTCCTAGAGAGAACTTTTGGGTAGACTAGGAAGTACTTTACCACAAGAGCAGTGCACTGACATTGATAAGAAGGCAGTCAGAGTGTGCTTGAAATCTTGCAGAAAGATCAGTAGAAGACCAGTGTTCTGCTGCAAACCAACAGCTCAGCTCTTTCTAGCATCCTTAGCAACAGCCTGCTGTTTTCCCAGGTGGCTCTGAACCAGACAGGAAAATGAGGTGGTCCATTTGTCACTGCCCCAGGTGTAACATATGCATGCCAATTGGTGCATGCAGCTTGTAAGGCCAGCTCCTGCCTGCCCCATGCCTGCATCTAGGCCTCTGGGTTTCCCTTTCACTGAGATCAGGACAGTGTGCTTCCTTTCCTCCTCCTCCACCTAAGTGATTAGATCCACTCTTCTAGGATTAGGACCAACACAGCTATCCTCAGTTCTGTGTAATCCCTCTTACCCCATTTTTAATTCAAGGCCACGATCCTTGAGGGCTGTTGGGACTCAATGTTGGCATGTAAGCCTTAGAATCTTAAGGTTATTCTGATGTGTGGTATACAGAAGACATGCTGGTATGTTCTTCAGGGAATGCTGGACTGGACTATCATTTTAGTTAGTCTAAATTGATTTACGGCTAGAGGATCTTGGATGCAGGTTCTGCAGATATGGCACAAGAGAAAGAGCCAGGGCTTGCTCGTAGGAGAAGGCAAGGTGAGGTTCATTTTGTTCTTTTATCCTAAACTCAGTGCCCTGCACCCACTACAAATAGAATAAACTGATCAGGTGGCAGATAATATCCCTTTTACCTATGAAAGGAGAAATGAAATCACCCAGAAGTGAAATTACATATATAAAATGAATTTAAGGGAAGCTCTGCTTCTAGAATTTTTAAGGACATTTTATTGTGGATTTAGGTCACACATTTAGAACTACTTCCTCTGACGAGGACTTAATCTAAGTTACAAGTGTGTGAACTTGGGGCTATTATGTACGTGGGTGACAGGCAATTCACAGAGGGTAGCCTAACTACTGGCAGCCCTGGGTCCCATCATTTACTCTGTGTATCCCCTCCTCACCTCTTTCCAGTTCCATCAAGTATAGGGAGGGAGTGTTTGGCCCTCTGAGCTGGAGTTAGGCAAAACCCGAAAATAGACTCTCAGAGTGCACCTAGACATAATGATTCCATGCGGCAAGAAGGTCACTGTGTCTGCTTTTCCTGCCAACACACCCCTGGGTCTTAATCTATGGCTGCCTTGTGAAGCAAGAGAGCTGTGCCAGGAAGTTACACTTTGTGACTGTGAGGCATTATGAGAATTTAAAATCATGTCAATGGAGTTTTGTAAGGGCAGGCCAGGGAAGAGGAGTTATGCACAGTTTTAGAAGAGGACAGTCTTTTAACATCTCTTTGTGTTTTGGTCTGAAAGCTACCATAACTCAATTTTTAAAAACAAAACAAAACAACTCTCTGGCTCCAGCTACAAATCAACTCCACCCTGCCAACCCTTTCAAAAAAATAATAAGATACCTACCCAAAAAATTTTCTGGGGTTATCCGAATGGTGGGATTATGAGTGAGTTTTATTGTCTTCTTTGTGTTCGTAGTTTTTATAACATACCATATACTAATTGCTTTACAGTTTAAAAAAAAAAAAAAAAAAAAGCAAAGAATCCTATTTAAAAAGCAAAACTGTACCCTATACCAACTGGCTGATTGTGCTGAATGTTCAGTATTGCTGGTCATGAAAATGGCGTGAGGGGGGCAGCCCCTGCCTGTGCCCCCATGTCAGGCCTCAGACAAGAACTGGAGTCCACAGGCATCTCACCACTGTGGGTTCAGGAGGGCTGCTGGGCAAGGGCAGACACAGCCCCTGAGAGGACTCCAGGCAGTCAGTGAGGGTGGGAAAGGGAGGCTGCTGGTGCAAGGCCAGCCAGACACCTCGGTAGCAAGGAAGGGATGACGGTCACATCCAATTGTTTTGGACAGTTAAGCCTGCCTGACATGTGCTTGTCAGGAGGGAAACTGTCAGCTCAAGTTCATCAGGAAATACTGCATTCTTGCCCTGAGAATATCCAGTTGCACATTATTCTGGCAGTTGGGAAGATCCTGTTTTCCAGAACCATGGGGATCAAGGAAAATGTAACAAGTAGAGACAAATATCTGGAAGAAAACAACCCCTTTCAGAATGCCAGAAATCCTCTTGGGGTTTGAGGTTCTGCAAACGACAAGATATTTCATTTATTTAAGCTTGGGCCTTGACCACCCAAATGGGTTATTGATGTGAGCTCAGTCCGTCCACTAATCCTGCTGCTGTCTACTGATCCCAGGCCATGTTGGGCCTGGGAGCCTGAGGTAAGCAGGCTAGTCATGAAACTGTGTCATCTCACCTTTGGACAGAATTCTTCCAGCAAGCTTCTGTAAAAACCTCTATTTCTTATGTGTCAAATGCTGACCTATTATTGAATCCAATGGGGTTCCTCACTCCATGGGTCTGAGTGCTTTGAACTTGAGGTCATGACCCAAGCCTTCGCCACACAGATCAGGAGCAGAATTCCTTGCAGTTTAATCCCAGCACTTTGGGAGGCCGAGGCGGGTGGATCACGAGGTCAAGAGATCGAGACCATCCTGGTCAACATGGTGAAACCCCGTCTCTACTAAAAATACAAAAATTAGCTGGGCATGGTGGCATGCACCTGTAGTCCCAGGCTGAGGCAAGAGAATAACTTGAACCCAGGAGGCGGAGGTTGCGGTGAGCTGAGATCACGCCATTGCACTCCAGTCTTGGTAACAAGCGAAACTCCGTCTCAAAAAAAAAAAAAAAACACCATGTGTCTAGGAGGTAAGGCCCTTATTAGTAATGGATTATGTTTAACTGGTGATAGAGATCTCATTCATTACTTTCTTATGTTCTCCTATGTGTTTCCCTGTGATGATCCATATGAGCCTGCATTTTAGGTAGTATACAAATAAGACCTCATGCTAATGTATTTATCATCACGTCCATTAGAAAATAAAAGCTCATTAAACTCATTATTTCATGAATAACTTTAAGACAAAGCTAAAATAGGTTCAGTTTTTAAAGGAAGTTAATTTTAATATATATGATATAGAAAATTGTATCATGCAGTAGATATGGCAAACAGAAAATTGTATCATGCAACAGAAAGGCGGTACAGTCATTGCACTCAATGTTTGGCAAATACTGTCCTAGAACATGCTATTAATACTTGGCCAAATTCATTTTTATTTTCCTTCCTTCTTTCTCTCCCTCTCTTTTTAATCTTAGTATCTCAGAATGAAGCTGTATGGAGAATAAATTGCTTACCAGAAAAAATAGTTGTGAATGTTTTTAATAATGATTCTAGTAACTTTTAGAGAGTGTCAACAAAGATTTATTACTTCTCTGGCACAGAGTAGAGAACTACTTATCTTCTCTTCAGAGCTGGGCCTCAGAGTCATCATTCTGCCCCTCGTGGAAAGCAGGGTTCCTAAATGTTTATATATACCAACATGCTTGCTGTCTTGTTCATACCATATCTGCTATTTCTTGTGGGCTCTATGTGTGTGCGTGCACACTTGTATTAAATAGTAACGAGATAATGTGCCACATCTAGGCTACTCCTGTTATTTATATTCAATAACGACATGATGATGTTGGTGGTCCATAATTCTCCATTTTCTATTAACCACCCTGCCCAAGTAAACTGTTTTCTGATCTCTCTTAGATGGAAATCCTGTATGAATGTGGAAGCCATTAGCAGAGTAATTGCTGTCTGTTACCATGACAACCAGCCGCTGCAGTCACCTGCCCGAAGTCCTGCCAGACTGCACCAGCTCAGCTGCGCCCGTGGTGAAGACGGTGGAGGATTGTGGCAGCCTAGTGAATGGGCAGCCGCAGTATGTCATGCAAGTTTCAGCCAAGGACGGGCAGCTGCTGTCAACAGTAGTGCGGACTCTTGCCACCCAGAGGTAGTACCACAGTTAAAATAAATGAATCTGTAATTGATCCAGAGAACTCTTTGTCAGATGGAAAATGCTAACGGGAATGTAATTAGTGCTCAGGTCTTTGTGTCAGGTGAGAGGAGGTGCCGGGGAAAAAAAAGACTACACAAATTCTGTCATTGCCGTTTCTATAGCAATAGGATATAAAGGTAAAATTCACCTTATTGAATTTTCCCCTTAAAGTCATACTTACAAAGAGCCAGGAGGGGAAGAAGCCCACAAGATACTGGGTTGCTTGCTTTACATTTGTTATTTTGACATTTGTTATGTAATTGCCCTCTTGTTGTCTCTAGTAGATAACAAAGGTAGTCCTATTGGAACAGGATTAAGAAGGTATCTGATTTCAGGCAACTGAGTCAAAGTGACTGGATGTGTGGGCAAAAGTTTTGAAGTGACATTTTTGTTGTGCATGTGGACTGGCATTGCCTGATGGAAGCTGTCCAGGGCTACTTCCTGGGCACGTCTCTTCTCATCACTAGGAGGTCTCTTCTGCTGTCCCCTCCTTCAGCCTCAATGGCCCCCCATCCCTGACGCTTCACACACATCTGCCCTATGAAGTGCTATTGTGAAAACTTCCTGAGGCTTCCCAAGTAGTGAACTAAAGCCAGAGTGCAGGCTCTGAGCAGCTTGGAAACCGCTTATCCTGACCATCACTTTGTCTCCTCCTGTGTTCTTGGTGGATAGGGAGTTATGGGCTTCCAGGCTAATAGGAGCGTCATGGCTTCTCCAGCTTTTTCTCAGAATGGGTAAGCAGGACTTCTAACCTATGCACATAAAAGGTAAATCAACATTGGACTTGCCCCCTAGTGTCAGTGCTGACACTTCTGACCTCTAACATAGGACCAGTCATTCACACCTTGTTCTCTTACCTCTGTCTGAGTGATCAGTCAACCCCTCTGGTGCAGACACAGGCCTACAGATCCGTGTGCCCACAGCAGGACTACCAGTGGCATCCCACCCTGGGCATGGTGGCCCTCAGACACGGAATCACACTAACATGCATGTTGTGAGCATTGCCCATATGCCCTCCATTTAAAATCTGTGCTGCTAGTGCAAAGGAAAACATAGAAAAACATTTCATGTATAATTTTCTGCCTCTTGGAGAACAGATAACAATTGGTTAGGACTCAGGGCAGGACAAAGCAGTGACTGTCTTTGGTCCTCTGTGAACTGAGACTAGGGGACTGATGTGCTCCACTCGCCCTTTGCAGGCATCAAACAGCTCACTTGACCAGGAAGAGCAGGCTGTAATTGACATGGCTGAGACCTGTGAGCCTCCGTGTGTATGGGGGTGTGTGGGTGTGTGGCAGTGTGGCTGTGTCTGTCTGTCTGTCTGTCAGGCATTTTTACCTGCTCTCCCACCATGCGGTACTGTAAACCAGGTTTCGGGATTTTGTAGGCTCAATGTAAATGAAGGAGGCCCAGAATGATGAGCAAAGAAAGAAAAAACAATTCTGTCCACTTTCTTTTCCCATCCCTGGGCACAAGTAAGCCTTTCAGGCTAATGGAAGTGAGGTCCTTTCCTTTTTTGATCTCCTTTTGGCCTTCCCTGATTCCCAGCATCATTCCCAGAAAGGCCTTTGGGAAGCAGCAGTTCTTCCATGGCTGTTTCCATTTGGACCAAAGATGGTGTTCAGGAGGATGAATGGGCATGTGCCTGGGTCACTGTCTTCTTTGGGGGGCATACAGAGAGGCAAGGGAGGGCAGGTAAAGAGGCTGGTCCTAGGATTTACATGATGAGGACTTACATGATAAGGGCCACGTTATTTGATTTTCTCTGACCTGAGATTTTTCCATGAGAGACAGTAGCTAGCATTAACTGGGCATTTGCTATGTGCTGGTCCCTATTCTAAGCCTCTAATCTGGGCAATCTTTTCACTACCTCACTGTTACCATATGAGGAAAGCACCATTCTTTGTGCCCATTTTAGAGTTAAGGAGACTAAAGTACAGGGAGATGAAGTTACTTACCCAAAGTTATCCAGGTGGTAGACAGCAGAGTTGAGGTTTGAGCCCAGCCAGCCGGATTCTGGAGCCTGCACCATGAACCACTAACTACACTAAGCTGCCTTCATGAAATGTGTAGGAGTGGTTTTTCTAAATTAAAGGCAGAACTCTAGACTGAGGCTACCTCAGTAGGACATACTCATTACTCACTTTCAGCTTGGCATCTTTGGCATCCCATAGAGCATCCTGTGAAAGCTCAAAGGACAATCCACCGTTCAGCTTTGTGCTTTGGCTCAGACTGCAGGTCTGTGTAGTGGCTACAGAGTTTGTTGCTGGTTAACTTCCCTCCTGTCATTCTCCCACCCTATTGAAAAGAGAAATGAAAGGAACTTCTGGGTATACAAACGTGTCCTGGCTTGGTCCACATGATTCAGTTTGTCATTTCAAAACAGTAACTATTCTTAATGGTGAAGGATGGTTCTTATTTTTGGACTAGTAGTTGGCCTGAACTACATTTATATTCAAGGCAAAAATATCCATTGCTTGTTTTCACTCACTTTTGATCCTGGACCACACCTAGCTACTTTGATATTGGCAATCTCCTATTTCTTGTTGTCATCACCAGTAGATGACCCAAGTGCCCTGCAGTGCCCAGGGCCACTTGCCCTACTGCCAAGGTCAAGTGTACATCTAAGAGGTCTTAAAGCAGCTGCCCCTGGGGAGGGCCCAAAGGACAAGAGCTAGAGGGCCATCCACTTGGTAGAGGTTTCCAGCTCAGTGATCAGCAGGTACCCCTCCTTCTCTTGCAGCCCCTTCAATGACCGGCCGATGTGCAGGATCTGCCATGAGGGCAGCAGCCAAGAGGACTTGCTCTCTCCATGTGAATGTACAGGGACCTTGGGGACAATTCATCGGAGCTGCCTGGAGCATTGGCTGTCATCCTCAAATACCAGCTACTGTGAACTCTGCCACTTCAGGTTTGCAGTCGAGCGCAAACCCAGGCCGTTAGTGGAGGTCAGTAAGTGGGGCACGTCCTGAAAACTTAGCTCTAATGAGCAAATGATGTCTGTTTTTATGCCTGGATCACAGCCCTGTACAGCTTTACTGAAGCACGGTAATAGCTATGTGAGTGTGTGTGTGCCTCTGTGTGTGTGTGTGTGTGTGTGTGTGTGTGTGTGTGTGTGTGTGTCTGAGAAAGAGAGATGTAGACAGACAGACATAGAGAAGGGAGAGCTTGCTAGCTCACTTGGGATCCATCAGTAGAAATCAGTATAAGGAGAAAGAAGCATTTAGAGGCTTGATGTCCATTTTTCAATCCCTGTGAAATGGAACAAACTGATCAAACATCTTTCTCTTTGAACACCATCTGCCCAACGTGAAGCAGCAGATAAATGGGCATTTGGGTTGCATATCCTGAGAAGTCTTCATGAAAAAGTATAGCTCATAGTTTAATGGCTATAGACCCACATGTCCTGGGTTCTATGACCTTGGGTTTGTTACTTAACTCTTGTAATTACTACAAGGATTAAAGGAATTAATGTTATAAAACACTTAAAAGAATACAGGGCACATAAACAAGTCTTTGAGTAAAAATATTTCACTTGTGAAATTACACACAAACTTTTTTCGGCCAATAGCCTAATAAGATTGAACTCTTTTTTTAAAAGTTGGTGCTATCAACCTAGCCACTAAAAGGGCAGAACATTCTCTTCCATGTTTTAGAAGGTACATGATTTCTCAAGTCCACATCCAGGGTCTGCTTGTTAGCCAGAGGAATTGGAAAAATCATTAGATTATTTCTGCCCTCTCTCCTGTCCCCAAATTCTGCTAGTCAATTAAAAGTCGGATCTTGGCAACAGTAAATATTTTAATATGTTATGTGCCAAAGCTAGCTGAAAAGAACCAAGACATTGTGTCTGTGATTCAGACCTGCTCCTGTCCTCCTTATTTCAGCAGCTAACTCAGTGAAGCCCTGGAATGAAAACTAGTGCTGGAAATCAAGAGGCGCCTCTTGTAGACTATTTAACAAGAGTGTCAGCACCCAGGCTTAAGATGCTGGAGAGTTCTGTAGCTCTGTATATGTATTCTGTTAGGTTTGGCCTTGAAAATTAAATCAAGATCTATAGCCGGGGCCTATTTTAGCTATGGCTTACTTGCCAAATGGCAAAAAACTTATTTGACTTGCCCTAGTACATTCTATGCTTTGCTTAAGAGTCTGGATCTATGCATTGGAACCAAATCATTTTCTGAGTGCAAAAATAAAAGAGTTTGGATCTAGGCCTGGCATTGTGGGTCATGCCTGTAATCCCAGCACTTTGGGAGGCCTAGGCGGATGGATCACAAGGTCAGGAGTTCGAGACCTTCCTGGCTAACACAGTGAAACCCCGTCTCTACTAAAAATACAAAAAAATTAACTGGGTGTAGTGGCGGGCGACTGTAATCCCAGCTACTCGGAAGGCTGAGGCAGGAGAATCATTTGAACCCGGAGGTGGAGGTTGCAGTGAGACAAGATCATGCCACTGCCCTCCAGCCTGGACGACAGAGCGAGACTCTACCTCAAAATAAAAAAAAAAAAAAAAGGAATCTGGATCTAGTGACCTCTTAATTTAGCCATCTTACCACTTGACACCCACTTTCAGAAATTCATATTCAGAGAGGGCCTGTGGGGAATTTGGTCCTGTGCCAGATTCATTGGGATTTAACACTTTAGAACTTATCTGCAGAGGGGAAAATATAATTAAATAATAAACAAAGGAGATGAAGATTTCTCAAGCCTAATGGCAAAAGTAAAAAGAAGCTTATTTCTCCTTTCCAGAAACTTTTTGGAACCTCCCCAGTTTGATCCTGCAGCCTCTCCAGGGAAGCTGACTTCCCAGAGTGAGAAAGCCCTGATTTGAAATAAACTCCATCCAGCAATCTTTTTAACAAGTGTTTCCCCGTAAAAATCCCAGCGTATGTGCACGTAATATATACAAAGGAGGGTGTGTGTATATCTGTGCGTGCATGTGTGCACATGCATGTACACACCTTAATTTTTCTCAGATGAAATGCCTATGGCAAATTACCCACCAATTCCTCTCAGTCTCAGAGAGGGTAACATGTACCCACACACACAAAGGTCTTCAGAGCTGCTGATGACAGGTCACAGACTCATTCTTGGATCTTAGGCAACTGTCATTAAACAAGGAAACAAGGCAAATGACCTTGAGAATGTGTGAGGTGCTCCACAAGATTTAGGGCCTTGCCTACAAAAACTTCACCCAAACGGTCACCAGTGATGAAATTTTCATTGCACAAATGGAATGTGACAATTTTCAGAGTTAATGATGATTGAACAAGTTGAAAGTGAAAGGCAAACCTTCCCAAGCTGGGGGAGGCTGGCCATTTGATCATCCCGTGGTGAAATGAACTTGCTGTTTGACCACAAGCAATAAAAAGAAGTTGTCTTTGGTTTCTCAGCTGGAGGACAAATGAGAACCAGGTGCAGGCAGAGTTTTAAACAAATGACATTACTAATTGACTTTTTCCTTCTTACCAAAGGGCAGTCTATTCCTAGTGAGCATCTCTTCTCAATACTTTCACCTCAAGATCAACATACATCTTTTTTTAAGCAAATCAGCAAAACCTGCCTATTTGGGTTAAGGATTAGGAGTAGTGTTACTTTATTTCTCAATTTTACTCTTTTAATTGCTTTAATCATTACTTTGTTTACCAGTTGGATCTGCCATCTCATTAAAGCAAGGAAATTCCATAACATTTAATTTCAAAATCGATGTGACAATAACAGCTCTTGTTGCTCGAGGAAGCAGTTTAAAAAGTCATTTATAAATTTTATTTGTCAGCATCTAAACACTAACATTGGTTGAAATTACTTTTAACACCTCAGCCTTCCACTTCTCAATAAACCCTCTCAGTCCTTCGTTCAGCATAGCCGTTCATCCCCCTCACGTCACTAAGACAGTTCACTTCCTTTTCTTATCTCTGCAGCCTGTGGTTGGATGTTCATTTTTAACTGGATAGGAACCCAGGGCTGTTGTATATACCCTGGCTATGTGAAGTCCTTTTTTCTGCCCACAAGGGTGAATTTCTACTCATAATGGAAAATCAGTGGGCTGATTTTCATTAGAACCTCAAAACTGGGCATGCCCTCCTCATTTAGCCACTGGCCATCTGTGTGGCTTGGTTCAACTTCTCTGAGCTTCCCCGTAGGAGAGGGTGAGCAAAGAGCACTCCATGGCATCTTTTGGTCTCTATAAGGCTAAAAGTTATTGTTCAAAAAATATGTATTCTACACTTCAAATGGATATATTGTATGATGTATTATTAGACCTCAGTGAGTTGGTTGTCTGTGTCTACTTACCTCTCTACCTACTTTACCTACCTTGCCTACCTACCTACGTGGTCAGTCTAAATCTTTTAGTCTCTTTTACCGTAAATATTGGTGAATCCTTTTATGGTCAGTAGATATCTATTTACCACATTCTACTGGATCACTGTTCATATTTTCTTGGTTCAAGGTAAGCCAGTATAACAAGAACTGGTTTCAGCCTAAGAGCACTCCATTGTAATTATCTATGTGGATGAATTTCTGATAAAATCCAACTAATGCAAATCTCATAAGATCTGTGTCCAATCACACAAACCTTGAAAGAAAAGCATTCAAAATGTAGATAGCAAAAGGCAAAAAGATAGCAAAAAGGAAGAGCAGATGTAACACACAGAAAAATACCATGACTTGTTCCCCTAAAATATGTGCCTTGACTCCAGCCTTTTGCCATTATTGCAGTTCTGATTGACCAGTTTGCCAAAGAAGCCCATCTTACAACGAGCAAATTGCATGCTTGTAATGTCAGTTTCTAGTGATGGAATATTTGCCACTAGGCTTTCCTAAGACGTGTCTTCATAACATCCGCTCTAGCCTGGAAAATTCATGAAGTTATAGATCAGCTCAACAATGTTGTGATTTAAATGAAACAGCCAGGAAATAGTGGACATCTGGAGGAAAGGCCTTCTAGGATCTGATTTTCCTCTGATCAGGGAGACACAGTGATTTTTCACAGGGGAAGTGATTAAGTTTCCGTATTCCTATTTCCTTTACACAGAACCAGCTGATTGATAAGAATTGTGTGAACAATTTAAAAGTTGTCCCCTGTGAGTCAAAAGTTTAGCTAAATTGAAACTGAGCGTGTTTTCACACATATCAGTTACTCAGAACAATAGAATATAAAGCTTGGGAAATGAGGATTAAGGATTTTTATTCAAACTTTTTTATTAATCTTTTTTATAAAGTCACTGGAGGACAATGGTTTTAAAGTGTGTCCAGGATTCAGTGTACTCTCCAATTACAGCGCAGGGAGCAAAGTTGAACTGCTACAAAGAAACCACTTTGTACCTTGGCACTTGCTATTTAATAGATTCAAGAATTCACTTAGCTCCTAATATATACATATAGATTATATAGAGATTACATATATACACACATGCACATATGTAACACACATGAGAGGTGGGGACATTGCTGGACTCTTATTATAGTGAATTTGGTTTTGTTTTGATTTTTAATATTCATTGAAGTAAAAATATGAGTTTTGGTTTCAGAGTATTCACTTATCAGCAAATGTTTGTGGTGTTAGGGTAATTAGGCAATTATATCATAAGGGATATAAAGTGAGTCAAGAAGATTTATAGGCATGAGGACCACCACTCCATTCTTTATATGAAGGTAGACAAGCCCCTTTGTTCATTCTAAGCCATGAACGCAGCCTAGTGAGTAAGTTAGTTGGACCAGTATCATAGCATGTCATAAATGCATTGTACTGGGTCAATACTTTTATTGAGGAATTTGAATGCCTTTGGGTGCAATGTGCTCTCTCCCGTTCCCCAGGCCTTGCCTTTTGCTTGCACACATACCTGGCCCTCCACCATCTTGCATTCCCTTCCTTCATTTACAGTTGAGGTTCCAGGATTGGATGACTTCTCTCACCTTTAAAAGAGTTCTCTAATACCTGTGCACT